CTTCATCTCCTTAAAACGTAGTGTGCTATTCCTCTTCTCACGCACCCACACGCATTTATTTCTCTCTCTCAGTTCCAGACTGGATGCTTTTGTCTCCCTCTTTGCGAGGCCACTTGAGATTTTTTATACCATACAAAGTTTTCTCTGTGTTTTTCGGAACATACATATATATATATATATATATCTGAGGTTGGCATATACCCAAAATTTAACAACATTAATATTATTGTTTCATTAGTTAGTCATGTGGACACAACCCTACCTCTGCCGAGATGTGAAAAATGGAATAACTCTGTGTTTTGGACTACACACACACAGGTTTTGTTCCCATATATACACACCAACCTTTCCGAATATTATTCTTAAACATCTAACATCCTCGTTATCAACACCAACTTTTTTCTTCGCACCCCCAAATTTAGAAACACACACAGCAACATCAACATTGTTATTATGTTTTAGTTTTGGTTCGCTAAACTGTGTCTTGTTTTTTTCTTCATAATTTGTATATGTTGCTGGTTTCAAATTCTATTTGGATTACGGAATCTATTCGTAATTAGGTTTAAATACTATTTTAGTCTACATTCTTTCGGTATTAGTTTATTTTAGTCTATGTATTTTTAACTTTTATTTATGATTTCTATATTTTCATTTTTTATCTCACCTATTTTCCTTATACTGTACAATTTTTTTTACATGACACTTTAATCGTGATAAAGTCATAAAATTGTATTGTAAAAGATTTTTATTGCGTAGAAAATGTATATTAAAATTTTGTAAATACGGGTAAATCATCAATTCACTTCTTAAAAGTATAAAGACCGAATTAAAATTGAAGTTTTGAAAGTGTAGAGGGCTAACGCTCAATAGAATTTCTACGGATCAGAGGATCATATTTTGTGAATGATTTCAATGATGGGTAGAGTCGAAGGAGAGATGGACTTTAGTCAAAATTATGGATTAGGGTTTGAGTTTCGGCCAATTAGTTTTTGAAAATAAAATTGATGAGAAGAAAAGAGAACAATATATTTGTAACAGAAGAAACACATGGCTAGGATTGAGAAGCAGAAAATGTCTCATTGCGTTACTTCATTTTTTGTATTATTGATCTGACCCGATTTTAGAAACTCAGCTTATTTGGTAATTAAAATTATCACATAGACTCTTACTCATCTTAAGAAAAATGTCACATCATTAATCTATTACGCCCAATTAATTAACGGTAGATTAACAATAGGGACCAAAATGAACCCAAGTAAAAAAATACAGTTCCAGAGTATTTTACTTTTAACTTAAAAAATGAAAAAAAAAAGATAAGTATACCGGTAGACTCTTTAAATAAACTATTTACCCAACTTAAATGTTAATAATTTACAGGTTTGTCAAAATAGAGGTACAGATTCATGTAAAAATTATCAAACTACTCATATTCATATATTTTTAATAAACAAATGAAACCTTGAATCCTAAATCCTAAACTATAAACCCCATGGATAATTTATCATTTTTAATAAAGAAATGAAATCATAAACCTTAAATCCTAATTCATATATATTCACCGGAGATCATTTCTTTTATTAATAAAGAAATAAAACGTTAAATTCTAAATTTTAAACTCTAGACTCTAAATCTTCAACGAAAAAATATATTTTAAAATATAATAATAAATGTAATATAATAAATGCGGAGAATATAGGAACTCTGAAAATCTAGATTTGTTAATGTATTTAAAAAAAAAAAAGAACACTTGTGAAATAGCACGTGTGATAGCTCCCGTAGAGACTTTTAGAACCATGGGCGCTTGTTTTGTTGGGCTCCTTTGCGTGGATGGGCCCATTCAGTCAGAAGCCCATTGTGGCTGTTTTTTGTTCAAACTTAAAAGGCCCACCAAGTATGCTTGTTCAGAATTATTTTTTCACTAGGACTAAAAATAGTTTAAATGGGTACTAAAACGGAAAAAAAATTAAGAGTTTAAATGGATTAATCAAAATAAGAGAATATTTTAAAATATTGTTGGACATTAGGATAATATGATTTTCCTAACTTAATTTATCAACTAATCAATTTGTAACGTTTAAAAATTGAGCTACAAAATCATGTAAGCGTATGATTTTGTTTTATATATATTTCAAAATATGACCACTCATTTGACATGAGTTTCAAATAAATAATTTTGTAAAATTGGACCATGGAATATTTTATATCTAAATTAGTAAATCATATCTAAAATTTTGAGAAGGTACATCATTTCGATTATAATGGTGTTTTTTAATTAATTTTTTTTTCTAATATTTTATTAGGTAACATTTTCACATTCTAAAGATATTTTTGAAATCTTGATTAAAATTCAAAATAAGAACTATATGATTTTTAAAATTTTCCTAAAATTTTAAATTATTTTTAAAAATATACTTGAGAGTAATGTTTGTGGGTCTTTGTCTAAAGCGGCCTTATCAGTTATAAATCGGGCTTATCTGTTATTTTTGTAGCTTAATAAAAAGTACAGTTTTATTCCACCCATATTAGAACAAAAGCAATTTATTCAAACCAGAAAAATTAAACAAAAACATAATAGTATAAAAAAAAAAAAATCTTATTTAACAAAAAAAAAAAAATCAAATATCATGCTTAAATTAAATTTAACTAAAATAATAAATGACATTTCATTCGATTGCATCACCTAAAAGTTGTAGTTTGTCCCCTATCTTAACCTTAATTTGCCTCTCTCTCTCGTCAAGTTTGTCACCACTTGTTAAGTTGGGTGACTCCATGCAGGGTTCGGGTCAACCTTTCTACTGTTTGAGATCAATGTGTCATCCATCAAAGAGGTTGAACTGATGGTGTGATCTATCATTATGTGTAATTATACTTGCAAAAATAAAAATATGGATGTTTTTCCTTAGATGTTGGTCACAATCTTACCCCTCCCCTCGATAGTTTGATCTATATTTTTTTGTTTTGTTTTATGGTTGATTCGATTCAATTTTACTGGGAGAGGAGTCTCCCCAAATTGCTACTCTTCTGAGATTTTTGACCATGATTTAATATGTTCTTTTCTTTTGGAATTTGACGAGGTTTCATATAATCTTATTCATGTTGAATTGCAATCAACGTGTCACTTGATGAGCACTCGATTGACCACTCATTTCGTCACTTGAGCACTGCTTTTATCGTCCTCACGTATAGTGTCAAATGTTGAGGCAAACATTTGGCTTAACATAATTATTGATTTTGCACCAATCTTCTAAAATAAAAGAGATTCGACGAAACTTAAAATTACACAGTGATGCTAGTCACATACATTCCAATGCTTAAATTAGGTCGGGTATGTGAAGCATAGTAAGAAGGATTTTTCTAGTGTACCTCTATTTATAGAGAGGATGACCTAAGGGTACCAAGAGATCTTCAACATAATGTTATTAGAATTTATTCTTTAAATTCCTTAAATAAGAGGGAATATCTTTTTCTTTTGTGATGCCTTATTCTTTTTTATTGGTTGAGCTTTTGGACTTTCTTCGAACTTGTAGTATTCTTTGGGATCTATAATTAAATTTGACTAAAATATATCATATTTAAAAAATATTTTTAAAATGTAGTTCATTTGAGCAAACTGAAAACTTTTTTAGGTAGGATACATATTTAGTCAAGCATATATACGAAGTGTTATGTTTGATTTTAAAGTATCATAAACATTATATATTTGATAGATATGATACATCTATTTTGTGTAAAGCATGTCATGACCTAAGGAAGGGGTTCAAATTAATAATTATCTTTTAGATTTTTTCAAATATTGGTGAGCAGAGGTTCAAAAATCAAAAGTTATCTTTCAGATGTTTTGAAATATTTGTAGAGTTTATTTGAAAATTTAAAATTGAAAAATGGAAGAATGTAGACGAGGTAATCAAACCTGTGCTTACTTCTTAATCTCTTATTCGTTTGAGAATTGAAACCCTTATCTGCTTCCTCGTCTCAGCACTACTACAAATTTCGCCTTTGTTAACGCTAAAATTTTTTGTTTAGTTAACACTTTTCGAAAAAAACATTAATAAAAATTTAATTTTTACCTTAAAATAAATTATTTAAAAAAATACATATATTGCCAGATATAAAACGTCAACTTACATCTAATATTAAAGTTGACACGATAGAGTGTTAACTTTTAGATTTTGTTGACGCTGATTACGCAAACTTTTCGTAAAATATCGTGGTTCCGTATTTCTCATATAGTTGATGGTCTTTTAACTGTCAATATTGCTATTTTTATTAATGCATTTTAGCCGTCAACGAAAATAGGCAATGTTAACGTTTAATGGCCGTCAATAGATCTTGTTTTGTTGATGGTTTAAAAGAGTTAATAAAAAGAGGAATGTTGACACTCCATATCCGTCAATTATACTACATTTTAATTGGCATTATCGTAGACCAATTGATGTAGTGCAGCTTGGTAGCTCATTTTGTTTTGGGTACAAAATGTCACGGGTTCATTCCTACCTATTACTTCTCCTCAGAGCAGTAACGATGGATCCACAAGGAAAGAGGATATTAATAAAGATCAAACAAGGATCCCATCTCTCTTAGCGTGAGGAAATTAATCATTTTTTTGAAGTTTAAGGGCCCTTTACAAGGGGTAGTCGGTGTTATAGAAAAGAAAAAATCGAAAAAAAATATCAATAAAAAAGAAAGTAATAAAAAAAAGAAATTGTTAACTTAGATTCATATAAATTGTCGATTAAAACCGTTAAATTTGATGGGTATAATTGATACATTTAGACCGTCAGTATTAAATTTAATAAAATAATGTCGTTTTGATGTTTTGAAATAATATTAAAAATTTATTTGATGAATATATGATTTTTTTAAAAAATCATAATTAAAAATAAAAAATTCACAATTAAAAACAAAATATTTAACTTTAAATTATACCTGTTTTTTTTTTTTCTTTGTTGGAATTCAACTTAATCGAATCCTAAAACCTTCATATCTATGAGGTAATCAAACCCCGTGCTTACTTCATAATCTCTTCTTCGTGTGAAACCCTTACCTGCTTCCTCATCTCAGCCGACCCCTTCCCCTGTTTTCTAGCGGTCCTACAGCAGCAAGCGGCGGCGACACGAGGGAGCGGCGGCGCCTGATCTGCAAAGGTGAAGGGCTGACGCGGTGAAACCTAGATCTGCGACCCTTCTCCGGCGAGTCTCCGACTCTCCAGCGGCGACGACCCGAAGGTAGCGAGCAGTCCAACGTGAGCTCCCTCAGATCTGCGATTGGCGGCGTCGGCTTTAAAATGATGTTATCCTAGATTGCTTCTTTCTTTGTGCATCTTACCGCTTTCATAGGTAGGAGCTGTTTATTTTGCGTTCTTATTTCCATTTATTAAACATTACATAAAACTGCAAGAACAATTTTTTTTTGTAGGTTTCTTTCCTTGTTGAATTTGCCTCTATTGTTTCTAGTCTTGGTATTTCATATTAATGCTACATTCTACTTATATATTTTTTCACTTGGTGGATATTTCAGATGAGCCTTGTGACTAATTCTCCAGCTCACTCATCGAGTAGTGACGATTTTGCTGCATTTCTTGATGTAGCTCTAGATTCTCATTCCTCCGACTCATCGCCGGAGGAAAAGGCTGAGGGCGATAATAATGTTGAAAGTGAGAGGTACTACTCTTTCTCTCTTTCAATTTTTTTCCCCCTTTTTTTTATACTAATAAATTTGCATTGACCTTTGAAGTTAATAATGTCTGTAGACGGTGGTTTAAGGTTTCTTGGAGTTATAATTTTTGGTTAATTTAAATCTTGTATTAAGTGGGAAGTGTTTTATAGTTGCCTTGCTAGCCCTCTTTTGAATCCTCAAATAGAGAATTTGAATTTCTCTATTAATATGAGATTTTTATATTTGTATCGGTCTTCTCTAAAAAAAAAGATATATATATATATATAAAATGAGAGCTATTTTGATCATCAGTGATGGGTTCCTTTTTTCAATTTCTGGTTTGTCTTTATTAAAGAATAGATAGTATTTGATATTGCATGATATTTCAAGTTACCTATTGAAATAGGATTTTATTACTGGTTTGACATTACAAATTTCCCCACCCGACTGTTTCTATTGCTGGTTTTATAGCAATTTGTAGATTCTAGGCTTCTAATCTCAAACGCTCAGTTTTTTATTAAAAAAAAAAGAACAAAATTTTCAAGGAGAAAAATGAAAGAATAAGAGCAAAGCTGCACAAAATAGGCCATAATATAAAATCAAAGACGAAATATTTACCTAAATACAAATTATTAAAACGCTAAGTAAGCTAATGGGTTTATTTGTCATTTAGTTACACTTTCATCTAATTATTTTCTTGTATAGATATCCTGAGTGGTCTAGTTTATGAAAGTTTTATCAGTTACCATATATGTAATTATTACTTTGATCAAAGTCAAACCATGGTATACAAGATGCTGCTCGTACCTTCTCATCATCCATTAAGTGCCATCTGTGATTTATTTGTTTATAATTGGAATTCTTTTTCCTTTTACATGAATAACAGCGTTGAGTTGTGGCAAGTATCATTTCTGCACATAATGATGAGGGTTTGTAGGATTGTTATAAGTTATAACTATATAACTAAGTTGTGGTAATTTATCTTAATTTTATCAATTTAACATGTAAAATATTTTTCATTCAATTCCTTACTTTTTTAGGATGAAACGTCGAAAGGTGGAGGAGCTGGAAGGCTCAGAGGAACCTCAGGAGGACATTTCGTATGGAGTTGAAGAACAAAGTTCAGGTAAATTAAACTGTTTCTACTAACACCTTTTGTTGTCCCTCTTTACTTGGTCTACTATTTACTCAGTGTAACCAGTTCGTGGCTGCCACCTGTACCATACTTAACTACTTCCTTACCACTTAGACAGCTAACTATATGACATACTTGCCGTGTCAGTCCCTTTTCCTATCCACTCTACCAATATTTATAGAGCTTTTCCCTTCTGGCTCTTCTATTGCATATTGTGTTTCTGGTGGTTGCCTCCTCTTCCCTTCTTGTATATGAATATAATTGGAGGTTTATCACCCTTTTTTATCCTCCTTTTATTTGAATTGTATGCGATTCTCTAAGAACCGTATCAAGTTGGCTCCAAATGATATATATATATATATATATATATAAAATAAGGACCTACTTATTTTTGGTTAGAAACTATTTCATAAAAAATATGAAATTGCACAATGAGGGAGGTCTTCCCCGTATAACTGAGACGGACAACATATTCTAGACTTTATGTTAAAATAGGATGGGCGATGTTCTTGTATATGGTAGTTGTGAGTGATCTTTCGTCTAAATGAAAATATGCATTTTTAGTTTTTGGTTGTTCAAGAACCAGGAATTACAGGGATGCCAGATGGATATGCATCTCAAATTTAGTGGTAGCTGAATTTATGAACTATTTCAGTCTAGCAGTCCTGTGCTCACCATACATCCCTTATTTTGGTTCCTTTCTTTGTCTACTACTGTGCCAGTCAGTTTCATGTAATTTTAACTTATTCCACAGTAGTTTCATGTAATTTTAACTTATTAACTTGAGATTTAGAAGTCTTCGCGTTAAAGGAAGTATTTGACTCTTTGTATATCTGCATTGGTTTTTCTCTATTGGTGAATTTTATTGTTTAAAAATAATGATCTGTGCAGAAGTATTATCAAAGCAGCAACTATGCAGTCATCCTGGTTCATTTGGAAATATGTGTATCATGTGTGGGCAGAGATTGGATGAGGAATCTGGTGTAACATTTGGGTACATACATAAGGTATATTTTCTTTGTAGGATGCCTAATTAGCTTTTATTCTTCTGTTACCAGCTCATTTACTATAGGGATCGCATCAAGTTTTTGTCTACCCTTTATGAAGAGCTTGTTGATTTTCTGAACTTGTGATTTGTGATTTTATGTATTCCAGTCACTAAGTTGATGGGTCATAGATGTGACATTGTATAGTGCTGGCCGCTTTTGGAATCAAGCAAATATATTCTTTCTTTTATACATTTATTGAGGATCCATTACCAAAAAATCTTGGAATAAGCTGATGGATAACTTTTTGATGATGTTTCAATAATTTATCTTATTTATTCTTGTTCATTTATTTTTCCAACTGTTCAGAATCTGTCTGGTTATGGAGATTTGTGATTCCCTTTTCCTCCAACTAAGGTTCTGGCCTACATGGTTGTATGTGAACATTTTTCTCCTGTGGGACATAGATCTATGATAGAATTTGGAGTTCTCATCTCCATCTTTCAACCACTCTAGCTTATATGTCTGACTCCACCCTCTAGCCTGCCTGATATTCAAATACATAAGATGAGCGTTTACCATTGCGTGATTTCCAATTAATGGAACTATTAGAATAGTTACATAATCCCATGTAGTTTGAGATGTTTTGTTATTCTTTTTCCTTTTTAGTTATATTCATTCACCATTGACTAAATTGATACTACTTACTAGCCATGGATATTAACTCTACCATGATTGGAGAAGTACTAATAACTTGTTTGCCAGTATATTGAACTATGAGCTAAATATATGACCATCTGATTATCTTGTAGGGACTCAGACTTAATAATGATGAAATTAACCGGCTACGCAACATAGACATGAAGAATTTGTTGCAGCATAAAAAGCTTATCCTGGTTCTTGATCTAGATCACACACTGTTAAATTCTACTCAGCTTGGGCATATTACACCTGAAGAGGAGTATTTAAGGAGTCAAACAGATTCTTTAGAAGGTACATTTTCCTGTCATCTGTACATTGTTCTGCTTTCTAAAGTAATTTTTCTATTGTGTTTACTTTTATTCCATTCCTATTGTAATTTTTTTGTCGCCCTTGCTCTTTTTGTATTTGTTGTCTTGTCTTAAATTATTAGCACTCTGATAAACTACTATTTAAGAGGCCAGCAAACGGTCTTCTTTAATCTAAAATTAAATTCTTTAAGTTTGACATGGACAAATTTGCAACATGTAGTGTAGTTTAATAGTTATGTGAATTTAATTCATAATTGGGATTTTTTTTTGCAAGGTATATTGAGGAGTGGTCTTTGTTTGTAATTCCTGGTCTTTTAGGATGTTGGAATTTCTGAGTAACTTTTCACATATCATTGAAAAGTTACCTTTCTTGTTTCAAAAAAGATTGGCATGTTTTCTTGGATATATAGATTTTTGTTTCATATTAATGAGAATCTCTCTCTCTCTCTCTCTCTATCTATCTATCTTTTTTTTTTTAAAATTAAAGTAAAGGTTGTGTAGTCAAACTTGAATTAGTTTATTGTATTCTTGTGGTAATGGTTCCTTTCTACTGTGTTGGACAGAAACCTAAATTAAATAAATCAGTATAAGCACTCTTTAGGCATGAATTTTTAACTATCTATTCATCTTTCCACTCTGACATAGAGAAGTTTCTGAGAGGTCTGTTGAGAATTTGGGCATCAATTGCTTGTTTTGAGATGAGGAGCCTGCCATAATTCCCTCCCTTGTATGAATTTTGGAATTTGCAGCTCAAACCCTTTTACTCTCGATTAGCTATTTTTCCCACGCTCCCTAGGACCGTGAAGCAAACTGCACGATATATATATATATATATATTTTTTATCACTGATTGTCATAACTGTAAAATAGTGCTTATTTCTATTTTATGCTTGATTTTTTATATTATGTCTGGCAATTAATCGTAAAAAGGTGGCTCAATCATCTAACCTTTCTACGAATTTCTAATGTTGGTTACTCAATTTGTTTGTGATGCTAATGGTAAAAATTTTGAATAGATGTCACGAAAGGCAGCCTTTTCCTATTGAACTCCGTACACACAATGACGAAGTTGAGGCCATTTGTCCATACGTTTTTGAAAGAAGCTAGTCAATTATTTGAAATGTATATATACACCATGGGGGAGCGGGCATATGCATTTGAAATGGCAAAGTTGCTGGACCCCAAGAGGGAGTATTTTAGTGCTAAAGTTATTTCTCGGGATGATGGCACTCAAAAGCATAAAAAAGGTCTTGATGTAGTGCTGGGTCAGGAAAGTGCTGTTCTGATCCTTGATGATACTGAAAATGTAAGTGCATCTAAGTTAGCTGATACTTGAATGTAGTATTGTAGTAGAAAATATTGGTGATTGATTTTATTTTGTGATACGCAAACCCATCTAGTTGTCATCATTCATTGAGTGTATATCTGTGAGGTTCCCTTCATACGTTGAAAATGATAAGTTTAACATCTTATAAACATATACGTACTGCGTTCAGTGGAAGAATGTTTCTACTTATACATCTGAGAACGTCTCAATGCATTTGGTAAATAAGAGGATGGTCGTGTGAAAAGAAGGGATAGTAAATTAAGAAATAGTGTTGTAGTGGGATTGCTTCGAAATGTTTGCTGAGTAATTTTGTCTTAGTACCTTGATCAATACATCTTGTAACCTGGTTTTTGTTCTATGTGATTCAGGATTGGATGTTGAGTTGGGATACTGTTTTCTTTGAACATGTATTTCGTCATCTTTGGGTTGCTCAGCTACCCTTTGTTCTTCATGCATATGGAGCTAAACATTGTCAATTGTTATAATAGGCATGGACAAAGCATAAGGAGAATTTGATATTGATGGAGAGGTATCATTTTTTTGCTTCAAGTTGTCGCCAATTTGGCTACAACTGTAAATCTCTATCTGAGTTGAAGAGTGACGAGAGTGAAACTGATGGTGCACTGGCGACCATCCTTAAAGTACTCAAGCAAGTCCACACTATATTCTTTAATGTATTTTCCCTGATCCTCTCTATGTTTATGTTTACCTTTTCATTTTTTTCTGCCTCAATCTCACTGTTGGGATTCCTTCTGCAGGAACTCTTGGATGATTTGGTTGACAGAGATGTGAGGCAGGTTAAAGTTTTTTCTTCTTGAACGTTTTAACATCTGTTATGCTTCTTGTCACTTAAACTTCTAGTTGATTCTACATTCTTTACTCGACCAAATCTAAATTTCCAGCTTGTATTTTCATTAGTATCTATCTGTTCACGAATAAACATGGTTAAATTACAACTTAATAAGTCCCTGAATTTTAAAACCGATCTAATAAGTCTTTGAATTTTCAATTCTATCTTATAGACCTCTTAACTTTAAAATATTTAATATCTAAGAGCTCTATGAACTCCCAATTTTGTGCTTAATAGATGTTAATCCTATTGTTTAACATTTTCAAACTTATTAGACACAAAATTGATAGTTATGATTCTATTAGACATTTTAAAGTTTAGAGATCCATCATAGACTTTTAAATTTAAAGGACACTTTTTAAGTTCAAGATCTATTATACACAAATCTAACTAAACTTGTATTTTTACCCATAAACATTTTGACATTTTCTTCAACATTATTCTGCTTGCATCATGAAATATAATCTTTGCACGAAGGGGAAAATTCAGTATGATGAATGGTTTTGCATTTATATCATGGAGTTGGTATTTTAACAAGGCAGCCTTCAATCCTACAGGTATTGAAGACAGTTCGGAGCAAAGTTCTTGAGGGATGCAAGGTTGTCTTCACCCGAGTCTTTCCTACCAAATTCCCGGCTGACAACCATCATCTCTGGAAGATGGTAGAGCAGTTAGGAGGTAGTTGCTCAACCGATCTCGATTCATCTGTGACACATGTGGTCTCAACGGATGCTGGAACAGAGAAGTCGCGTTGGGCAGTGAAAGAGCAGAAGTTTCTGGTCCATCCACGGTGGATTGAAGCATCGAACTACTTCTGGAAACGACAAGTGGAAGAGAATTTTCCTGTTGAGCAAACCAAGAAACAATGACCACAGTTTCTCTCGTAAATAGAGCTTGCATTTGGGGGCTTACTTGCTGTGGTGCTGGTGTTCCCTATATTTTTTTATGGATCCTACCATCTCATTTTTGGAGTGTATCCCCTAAAATCAACCTCAATCAAGCTCCATGGTTTGTGTTTAGATGTGTTGATGCATTGTGTTGTAATTTTGGCTAACCATTTTAAGTTGGGTTATAACTAGAGGGGTGTAGTTTTTCTAGTCTGGCCTGTGATTCTTTTGAAAAATACCAAGTCCTAACAGCTATGGTTCTGTGTTTTGTAATTTGGCTCAGAACTAAGATATCGAAGGGTGTAATAGAAAGTTTCATGAACTGATTAGAACAGTTGAAGAAATAAAAAAGAGGCTTGGTTTTATTTTGGTTTTTGAACTTCTGTGTTTTATTTTAATCATTTGCCATTGGTATTTTCTTTCCATTTCAGGAGGTTTATAAGAGTGTTTGATGTCATGAGTGATTTGTCAGCTATGGATTTCAAATTGTAGTTGATAGCATATTTTGTGCAGCATTAGAACTTAAGTATTAAGAGTATTCGTGTCGTATATATATATATATATTTTTTTTTTACATGGAGGGATGGAGATCAAAATCACAAATCACAATCTCTTGGTTGCTTTGACAACAATGATTCATACATATACAATTGGAGTAATTGCAAAATGTGGAAGTGGAAGTCCCATGCTAAACAAACTATGCATAGAAATTCTAATTTTGCATTTGAAACAATAAAATACATAACTACATTTAAAAAAATAATAAGACTCTGATAAATGTCATTTTATTTTTGTTAAAATTAAAAAGAAGTCAAATATAATATATAATAAATTATATAATTTATCATTTTATCCTTGTATAAAAAAATATATATAATATTGTAAAATAATAATTCTACAAAATATATAAATATATATTAATTAATTAAGTAATAATATTTTAGATTAAACTGAATATTTAGTTGGTATATCAGAAAATGTGATAAAATAAAATTAGAATAATTAAAAAAATCAAAAATTCAGATTTTAAATATTTTGTCATTGCAAAACTTAAAAATAGTTGCTATATTGACAAATATTTTAAAGATTTGTTATAAATTTACCAAAAAAAAAAGTTTCCAAAATGAATAGAAGGGAAAGCAAATGAATTTACTAAAAATTGTTCCGGACTTTTCACTATTGAAATCTCGACCGTTATAAAAGGGCGCGTACGCGCCTTGCCCCTCGCCGCCACGTCAGAGGAGCGGAAATCGCACTCTCCGCTGCCGTTGATTTCTTAAAATCGTCGCTTATTGGCTTCTCCGTATGCACCATACCTTGTCGACTTTTTCTTCTCTCTTTTTAATCATTTAATTCCAATTTTCGGTTTTTCTTTTCGTTTTCTAGTTCGAATTTTGCGCAATCGGAGCCGACTAAATCAACTGGAATAGAAAGAAAACTAAATTAAAATAGAAAAAGAAGGAAAAAAAGAAATGCAAAATATAGAAGGGAAATTTTCAGTCTACTCTCTTTCCTCTCACTTCTCACTGCTCGGTATTGCTTCCAGTTTTCACTACATTTTCTGTTTCTTATCAATGGGATTTGAATCATTCTTTGATTTGGGTAATATTTCTTTTCCAATTTCCATTTTGGATCAGCATCGTCTTCGATTCACATTTTATCTGCACGGCTGTGTATGGTATCAATTGGGATTGATATCCACTTTCTTTTTGGAATGCTGTTTAATGTGTAGATCATCGTAATCCATAATCAATCCTTGTTTTTGATCCGGGAAGAAACTTTGCCATAATTGGCACTTGCTCCACTCTTCAAAGCCCAACTTATAATTCATGCGGTGCTGTCGCAGAGGGGAGTTTTCTCAACAGCACTTAAAGGTTGATGTGGAGATGAGGGATTTTGCTTGTTTAGTTTCAGGCGATCGGGGTTTCGGATTGCCGTCTCTGGCGAAGTTCAATACCCGAAATTTGCCCTCGAATGTGATTCATCGGTCCGAAGCTGTGAAAGTGAATGGCTATGGCGAGGACTGTGACTCTGGATCCGACATGGACTTATCGCCTGACTCGGGGAGTGATATTCAAAGCCGGCATTACTCGGTCGTCACGTCTCCTCAAGACGACAAAATTTCCAATCGCGCGGCTTCCATCCACGAAATTCCATTTCGCAATCAATCGAACTATCACTGTCCTGAAATCGGTCATTTCGAATTCGGTTTAGTTGCGGAACCAATTCGGCTAAAGCAAGAATACAGTCGTGGAGGAGTCAAATCGTCGGGCTCGGCCACTAGTACTGAAGTTTCATCTGGTCAATCAAACGACAACTCTTCTGGTGGCTACTCTGCAACTTCCACCTCACAGGCGAATAAGGAAAAGATGGCAAATCAGGTTTTTTATATTCTGGTTCATTTATTTACAGGAGAAGGTTTTAGGATGATTCCTGAGTATAAATGTAAAGCTGTCCAGTTTCTTATAAACTAGCTAGTCAAGATTTCTAGTGTTACAAGTTTCCGCCGATTTGTTAATACAATGCAATTTTATTAACTTTATGGGATGGTGATTAGGTAGTTCAAAACGGTATTTTTTTCTGTGTTTTAAGACTTATATAAGCAAACTCACTTTCTGTAAAATTTGACAGATAAAGTCTGGAGAAAGGGGAATGAATATTCATACAAATTTCGATCAGGAAATCAGGGGGATCAATAATCAAACTTCAACTTGTGGAGCATATAGGACTTATGTTTCTGCGAGAAGTGAATCAAAAGCAGTAGAAGGCTGTTTAGGCCAAACTCCACAAGCTACAGATATTGGAATTTCCAATGCATCGGCTAGGTTAGTGTATATGCCTCGCACTTGATTTTCTCTCTCTCTCTCTCTCTCTCTCTCTCTCTCTCTCTCTCTCTTCTTTTTTTCCCCTTTGCATTGGAAGTTACTGAGAAAGAGTATGATATTAACAAGTACATCTTGGTTCAGGAATGCTGCTGGTCTAAGAGTTACATCATCTTCTCTTTCGATTCCTCCCCGCCTCCCAAATTTTAGAGCAATGTACTATATCAACTTCGAAACATTGTTGCAGTAATTAGATTAAATTAAAATAGTTTTCTATTTGTCAAAAGCTAACGACTTCAATCTTTACACAGTTGCCTCTTTTAGCAATAACTCATTCTTTCTTATGATGGGGTGTATTCCATTTGACAGAGGACAAGGTTCGTGGGGTGCTGTTATTTCTTATGAAGCATGTGTTCGGCTATGTCTTCATTCGTGGGCTCGAGGTCATTGTCCCGAAGCTCCTTACTTCTTGAATGATGAGTGCAAACTGTTGCGTGATGCATTTGGGTAAGTGACTGCAACAGAGACTTTGCTAGAGTTTAATGTGAGATTTTGTTAACAAAAATTAGAATTTGTTTTCAGTCAGGTGGTCAATCTAGTTAGTGCCGAGTTCAAATTAAATGATTCTTTTGGGAAGTTCTTTTTGTTTTATTTTGGCTAATTATATTTATTTGGTTTCTTTGTTCTTACTCATGTTGTCAACTGCAACAGTTTACGGCAAACACTGCTGCAGCCAGAAGAGGATCTCTTGGCAAAACCTCCATCAGGGTTGGCCAGTGAGGAAACGGCTCCAAAATCCATAAGAAGTCTTGGGAAAATCAAAGTGCAGGGTATCTTACTAGAACTCTAACAAGATTTGAAGACCTATTCTATCTTTCTAAACTTTGGATATTTACAGTGCGTAGGTTGAAAATGGGTCTGGAACCACCAACCAGCTGTAGTCTTTCATGTCTAATGCAATCCACCATCAAGTCGGAGACTCTAAATGCACATTTATCCAATGTGAAGCGAACGCTTCGCTCCGAATGGCAAGCCAAACAGAAGGTTCGGGTAGCTCATCATCTTCCTACCAACTCAACTGGTTCTTTCTCTCAACAGAGCTTGGCTTTTATGAAAGCTGGCTCTCGGTATGCCAAAAAGGTCTTGGCAATCATTAAAAGTGGTGCAGTTTCCTTGTGTCGTAGCCCATCAACTTATGAAGTAAAACAAGGTGACCAATCTAGATGTTCTAGAAAAATGAGATTTACTGGTTAATGAAACATAACAAGTTTCTACAAGTGAAATGATTAAATGAAATCCTCTTTCGGCCACAGCCAAGTTCTTTTTTTTCTTTAAAATGATACCCAAAAAGTTTCTGTGTTTCCTTGCCTGCATGAAATTATAATTCCGCTGGCAATCTTTTCCTGTCATCAGAAACATATTCTTGCTTGTTGAGACTAAAAAGCTCATCTGATGATGAAGTTGTTAAAATGCAACCAGCATCTGGTGAAACTCATCTATTGTAAGCTTCTTATCCTTTCTTCTTCTTGCTTTTTTTTTTTTTTTGAGGTTAATGCAATTAATTTTTGTGCTCAATTGAACAAATAGCTTTCCTGATTGTCCTGGAGACGATTTAATCATCAAAGTTCAGAATTCCAAAGGACAGTATCATGGGCATGCCAAAGTTCAAGTTGCTGCCATTGCTGATGATTCAGTATAGTTTTTGTCCATATTGTCTTATTAAGTAAAAATTTTATTCCTTCACTTGAAGTTTTAAGTAAAATTTGGTTATCCTGCTGCAGGATGAAAAGACACAATGGTGGCCTGTGTATCGAGAGCCAGAGCACGAACTCGTTGGAAGAATACAATTACATACAAACTATTCTACAAGCCCAGATGACAACAATAGTCTAAAGGTTTGAAAAAAAAGAATGAAATCCTAATATATACACACACACAGTTTTTTTTTCCAAGTAGAAAGGTGGAGATTATTCAACCTGACAGGACTGCTTATATCACTAATTTGAACCCATTTTCAAAATGCAGTGTGGCTTTGTGGCAGAAACTGTGGCATATGATATCTTGTTAGAAGTTGCAATGAAAGTCAGCCATTTTCAGCAAAGAAATTTGTTGCTACAAGGACCATGGAAGTGGTTACTTTACAAATATGCTACTTACTATGGAATATCAGATTCATATACTAAGCTACGGTAATGAGATATGTTAAAAGTATTAACATCATTTCATCAAATTGAAATTTTTGACTTGTACATATATATAGATGATTTTAAGGGGTCAATTACATTAATTTAGTGGGTTTTTTAGGTACCTTTCCTATGTCATGGATGTTGCTACACCCACTGAAGGTTGTCTGTCTTTAGTGGAGGAGTTGTTGCAACCAGTCATAATGAAGCAAGGGAAGGGCTCCTTGAGTTGTCAAGAGGTGAGGTTATTGTTTGAGAAGTTATATGTTTCTTTGACCATGATATAATGATACTGTATGGCTTATGACATTATCCACCAGAAACGCATGCTACTGGAGATTAAGGAACAGGTCGAGAAGATTCTTGCTCTGGTCTTTGAGAATTATAAGTCACTTGAGGAATCTTCGCCTTCAGGAATGGTGGCTGTCTTTGGTAGCGCAAGTGGTTTTGTGGCTCCTGCTTTGACCCGCTCTGTGAAGCTATATGCTCTCCTGCATGATGTATTGAGTTCTGAGGCACAACTCAAGTTATGCAGATATCTACAAGTAATCTAAGTGAAAAAATTTCATTGTTACATTTGCCATTCGTTTTCTTTTAGTAAATTGTGAACGTTAAGTTGGTTGGTAACAGGCTGCTACAAGGAAAAGATCAAGACTGATGTCAGCAGAAGTAGATGAATTCATATCAAACAGTAAAGAAGGCAAATTGATGGATGCTGTTATTCTTTCAACTGCTTACCAGAAGATGAAAACTGTGGTGTGGAATATTAGAAACGAAGTGTTGACTGATATTGAAATCCACCGTCAAAATGTGTTTCCCAGGTGAATAAATCACCATATGTTACATTCTGAGTCCCTTTTTTTGGTGGTTTGTCTCAAAGACATCATTTACTGACTGAAAATTGTGGTGATTTTAGCCATATTTATAACCTACATTTGTCTTTCTGTAGTTTCATAGACTTGCCAGACCTTTCTTCACCCATATACAGTGTGGAGCTGTGCAACAGACTGCGAGATTTCCTCATGTCCTGCCCTCCTCCTGGTCCATCACCTTCCGTGACAGAACTTGTCATTACAACATCTGAATTCCAGCAGGATCTTGCTCATTGGAATATCAAGTACTAACATCTCATATCTGAATCTCCATGATGAAATCTAGTGTCAATTACACAATTTTTTTAGTCAGTTTGTCTTAAATTTATTTCAGTCCTATCAAAGGTGGAGTTGATGCCAAAGAGCTGTTCCACTCATATTTTACACTCTGGATTCAAAGTAAGCGTCTTGCTTTTCTCGACTCGTGCAACCAGGACAAGGTACGACTTAGTAGCATCATGAGATTCTTGCTGCTCCATGAAACTGGTGAGATTCTAATCATATTTACTCTCAGGTACAACCATATGGAGCCAGATCAGAACACTCAACATTGCCGTTTGTTGATGATATGTATGATAGGCTAAAGGAGACACTAAATGACTATGAAGTCATTGTTTGTCGCTGGCCAGAATATGCAAAGAGTCTAGAACATGTAGGTGTCTGATAGTTACATTATTCATCTGCCTTACTGAGAACTCGTCCCAGGACTCGAAATGGTTTTGCTCTTCTTCTATAGGTTGCTGCAGATGTTGAGAAGGCAACTTTTGAGTTCTTGGAAAGGCAATACTCTGACGTTCTCTCCCCATTAAAGGACAATTTGGTGCCCATAATGCTTTCCAAATACTTCCAGAAGTTTTCCAGACAAGCGGTAGATACATTTTTTATACCAGATGAGGTATAGCTTATTCTTTCTATGTGGTTTGGTAGAAGTTTCTGAAAAAAAATGTTCTTATTTGGCTGAGGGACCATCTTTTTTCAGTTAGGAATTCTTTTGAATACGATGAAGAGGATGCTGGATGAGCTGATGCCCCAGATAGAACGCAAACTGAAATCATTGGCGTCTTCTTGCTCAACTGATGAAGATCCTGTTCGAGGTGAATATCTCAGTGAAGTAACTTTGGTGCTTAGAGCCAAATTCAGGAGTTACCTGCACGCAATTGTGGAGAAACTAGCAGAAAATGTGAGTATCCTTCAAATCCATCTGTATGAAAATCTTACCTAAGATCAAGATCTTGTTTATACCGCAAAGCATAACCTTTCCCATTACTCCAAGGAGATTCACCTCTCAAACCAGCAATATTTCCAGATCTCTAGACTGCAACCGCAAAATTTCCTCCTCTCAGAAAACAAAGAGCAATACTTTCTACTATCATTTTCATACGTGATAAATGGTGTCATATAAATGCAGACAAGGGTCCAGAGTGCAACAAAATTGCGGAGGATAATACAAGACACGAAGGAAGCGATGGCAGATTCAGAAATACGAAGCCGAATGCAGCCATTGAAGAATTTACTGATGAACATAATACATCGTCTCCACCCCGTCCTTGACAACGGCGTCTTCATAGCAATCTGCCGACGTTTTTGGGATCGAATGGGACAGGAGCTGCTCCATCTCTTAGAAAACAGGAGGGAGAACACGTCCTCGTATAGAGGCCTGCGGATTGCCGTTTCTGTAAGTCCGAAACCAATCACTGAACGGAACGAAATGATCAAGAAGATCAGCTAGTATCTCTTATTTCTTTCGTTGAACTATGTTCTTGGCTGATTCCGCAGGCTCTGGACGACGTTTTTGCATCGGAAATGCAGAGGTTGCTGGGGAATGCTCTGAAACAGAGAGACTTAGAGCCACCAACTTCGATCATGGAAGTGCGATCAATACTCTGCAAGGATGCTCCAAGTTTCAGAAGGTGAACTTGATTTCGTGCCTTCCAATTTTGTATCATCTTGGATTTTTTTTTGAAATATTTTAAATTGCAAAAAGTTGAGTAAAAGAAATTAGAGTTTTTTTTTGGGGGGGTTAATTTTAGGAATCATATAATTTGTAAAAAATAAAAAAATAATAATAGACATTTAAGAGTAATAATAAAATAACTGTAATTTAAATAAAAATTTCAAAATTAAGGTAGATATCCAAATTATTGACAAAAATAGGTTAGGTGTTGATGAGTTATGTACAATTGTATGCAATTTGTATAAATGTCGTGTAGAATGTATCTAGTTTATAATGTATCTGGTTTCCATTAGATATGTGATCGAAATCGCAAACATATGGCTCTAAACTTGAATAGTTGCAACTATGAAATTATTACCAATGGTTGTAATTTTTTTTTTTAAATTGCATTCAAATTGTTATCATTTGATGTGTTTTATACACAATTGTGATCTCACCGTCCATTTTTTAAAATACTTTTCAACTTACATTATGTCTGTCGTTATTTTTTTAAGAAAACATATCCCTTTTTTTTAGTTAGTATATTGTTGTGAATTTATATTATAATGCATGGCCTTTTTTTTTAGAATAAAAGTAATTAATAAAGAGACCAAAAGTTAAATTTAAAGAATATATTTTTTAATTATTTTCAACTGGCAAACCCTATTTAATAATACGCGATCATATTTTATACAAATAAAATGAATTATGATCAAATCTAGATTTCTTTAAGATTTTGACTGTCTCGCTCCTTTTGATATTCCATAAAAGATTTTTAAAAAATAGAAACAACAAATTTGTTTTTAGTACTTTCTACGGGTCCGTTTGATAACCTCTTTTTGTTTTTAGTTTAAAAAAAAGGGTTTGATAACTCATTCAATTTTCTATTTTTTATTTTTATAAAAATCATTTTGAATTTCTATATAAATATCAAAAACAAAAAAATGTAATTTTCAAAAACAGCTTTTTGTTTTTCAAAATCTCATTTCTTTCTTATAGTACTCAACTTTTTTTTCTTTCTCATATTTATCTTTAAAAAATTTACTTTTCATTATAAATTTTTTTTATTTCTAAATTTCTCTCTCCAAACTTTATTTTTATCTCTATAAAATTTTCATATTTTGAATATTTATTGTTATGTGTCTCTCTTTAGAATTTTCTGTATTTTTGTTTTTTTTAACCGATCAGTTTCATTTCTCTCTCTAAAAATTTAATATTTTTCCTCACTTTTTTCTCTCGAAAGTTTCATATTTTATAACTGTTATGTCTCTTCGTAATCTATTTTTTATTCTAAAAATTATATTTTATTTTCTAGTTTAATTTTCATTCACGGTAACTTTTATCTATCTTTGTATTTAATTATTTTATATAAAAATTATATTTTGAATCTTGTTTTTATCTCTAAATTTGTTTCCACTATAATTTTTCTCTTTCTTTATAATTTCTTTTTCTCTTTAACATATCTTTTCCTCTCGACTTTATTTTTTCTTCAAAATTTTTCTCTATTTTCATGTCTCTACATTAGGGGGAGACAAAAATTTCCGTAGGGTCAGGTCTCAAAAATAGAAAATGTACGTCTCAATCTCATCCCCAATTCCATTTTTTAAATAATTAATATATATATTACATTTTTTATATTTAAATTCTAAAAATAATTAAAAAAATTTATAAAACCGATAATTTTTCTCGATGACATCTCTCGGAACCAAGAACGAGGTAGAGACGGAGACTAAAAATTTTTACGAGCCCGAGAATGAGGGAGAGCATCCTCACTTGCACCCGCACCATCTCTACTAAAATGATTTTTATAAACTCCTTATAGGCGTGCAATTGAAAATTCTAGATAGTTTTTGTAATCTCCTAGGATTTAGGGGATATATTCTGGAGGAAATTATATTTGGATGCCAAATATATTATTATGTATTTCTAAAAAAAAATGTGAGTACTTTCATTCAATGTATTCCAAATCAAGTTAAAATTATGTTATCCATATAAAATTTTAAATTGCTATATTCAGAAAATACGTATTCTTATTTTGCCATTTATGTAATTGCCTCAAAACTGTAATACAGAAAATAATATCTGCTCCTTCCTTTCAAAACTTAACAAATAAGATATTATTTTATTTCATGAATCCACAGATGATTAAACAAATAATGAGTGCAAATAATGTAGAAAATCCTTTCACAATTAGTAATACTTGAATTTGTTTTGGTGTACTTTCAATGGAAAGAGATATTGGACAGGTGGAAAAGATGTTGAGCAGGTGAGGCCAAATAACTGAAGATATTTATGGAAAACACTTCAAATCGAACAAAATCATGAGAATGAATTTGGAGAGGACATATTGTCCTCTTGATATATACTTATTTCAGGGGACTTCATTGAAAAGAACTACCTACCTCACCTCAAGTTTAGGAATCGATTGATAAGTCCAATATCAATATCTTTATTTTCCTCTTTCCTTTCTGGTTTTCAATATTAAACTATACTTAGGTTTGCATCGAAATTAGATACCAAAATTCTAATTAATTTAGTCTCTCATAATCCTCAGCCTCAAATTTCACATGCCATGCCTACGGTTGACATTCCACTCTTATCCTTGTTCCGACCACTGCCTCACCTTATTTCCAACAATGCCAACTAAATTTATTCTCATCTCATCCACTAAAATAAATCTTCATTTCGAAACCTTTTTACCTAAACTAGTTGGTAAAATTTGTCATCTATGGAATTGGTGGATAGTCAGTCTCAAAACTCAAAACTAAACTTTTAACTAAAACCTCAAACTCAAGAAAAACAGTATCTTTTTACCATAACTTTTAACTTAGCATTTGCTACATAATATACCAACTGCAATTGCAAATGGGTGGGACCCATCTTTTTCCATTTTGCTTTCTCAATTATTTTTTCTGTTACTAAGTGCCAAAACTCGTTTGAATAAACTTTCAGTTCCATTCCACCCTCTCAAAGCCTCAATAATTCATTAATGGCGGAGACACCAACGTGAAGAAAGGAAGAAACAAAGAAGAAGCTGAAGAGAATCGCCGTTTAAAACAAACCCATTTCCTTCAAACATCTTAATTAACTTGACCCAAAAAGGGCATTACAATATTCCCATAAAATTAAAAATAATTTTATACTTAACTCAAATGCCTTGATTTATGGAATGGAATATATTCTAAAATTTTTTCGCCGTCATCATTCTATAATTAGAAATCTTTAAAAACCTTTCGGACTTGTTCCAGCGTCACGAACAGCACCACCGTGAACGGCCCTTGCCTTGAAATCGTCGGAATGAATCCCTTATACAGCGCCAGAGGCCCCTCCGCCCGTACTGTCTTCAAGGCGCAATCCATCGCGCCGGAGTACGGCGCCGCCGCCCCTGGTTCTACCTTCATATTCATCACTCTGGTTTTGATCACGTC